GGTCACTGGTGATGTTTACAATCGAAGCAACGCGGACAGGACTGACATTCGGAAAGGACATGTGGAACTTTTCAATCAAATTACTCCGATAATGCAGTCCACTGGTCGATCAAACTTTGAGTTGCTGCATTGCTGCAAGGCTAGTGCAAACGTTGTGCACGGTTTGTGTGGCTCGAGTACCCCTTTAGTGATCCTTGTTTGCTGCAACGTCAATGGCCGGATATGGAGAACAGGCAACTGATGCAAAGTCTAATTACTTGCACAAGAAAAGGGATAGGCGTACGTGCTTTTGTTGAGTTGTGGTGTCAACCTTTGGCCTGCTTCAGGGGCTTTGAAGACTGATTCAGTTTCTGTTGGGTTCTTCAGATTTCCTCAAAATAGTAACTTGGCAAGGATGCAGAGCCCCGAGAAGACGCTGAGCGTTTGAAGACATTGCAGGCGCCGCGGCTTGGGGAGTGATTGCCGGCAGGGTGGTCCGGGTGGTCAAGAAACCCTTTGGCAGTCATTGAAACTTTTTGGAAGGGCTGTAGGCGCTGCCCAATTTGTTTCTATTGGATGTTTTTTCACGAAGTCTTCTGGATAATGCCTCGGCTGTTCTGTTGGCGCTTGCGCGGGTTTTTCAAAAAAAGATCCCACACGTGTTTTGGAAGTACAATGTAGGTTTGCATTGACGGTTGCCCCACCTTGCAGCAGTGGAGAGCCTTCCATCATCATTTCTAGTTCGCGTGCGCAGACACGGGATCTGCACCCTACACCGTGCAGGAATGGGTGCTTGCAAGCAGCGAAGAACTGAGCTCACCACATGTGGTGGGCTATGACTTTAATCAAGGACCAGCTTACAAACTTCGCATGCGAGGTGCCAACCAAGGGAAATTTTCCGTTGGAATTCTTCTGTTGAAGAGTCCAGTCTGCAGTACACCAAACGTTGCAGCACAGAGTGAGAGAGCTTGTGCGGTTCAATCCAAGAGGTACTTGTCAGGTTTGTGAGGCACCACTGTTCTGTCATTGTAATTTCAGCTGGTAGGAGTGGACTACGAAGCCTTGCTGCAGTCATACATGACAACAGGCCCGTTTCTGAAATGACCATGAGGTGACACATTGTTGAGGTGGTGCATGTTGCCACACGGGTTAAACTAAAGGGACAAAGGTAAGAAAAAGGAAGGACACAAATAAAAAACATCAACGTTTCCTTGTTGTAACCATAGACGATAAAGATTTGTTCCACGTTGGCTTGCCACAGGCTTCCAAGCAACGAACCTCGGAAAGGCATGTGGGCATTGTTGCCGGGTTGCACCGATGTTATACAACATTTTGACACGGTAAGTGGTGACTGGTGGTATGGCAAGGTCTTTAGCCAGTCCGAGTCTTTTCATTGGAATTTGGATGCCTGATTCAAGCATATTGAACTCATCAAGGTCAAGTCAGTGAAAGGGCTTCGCACCTTAGTAATTAGTCACAGACACCTCCGGGGTCGAGTGGTTTCGCAAGTACGACCATCTGCACCTTTTCAGCAATTTTGATTTAGAGAATCCTTGTTTTACAAGTGGTTCAGTTCAGATCTTCTAGTGCTTTGAAGATGTTGTTTGTGGGACGTTCTGTTATCAGTTCGCCGTTGCAAGGCCATTCAAGAGATCGAGCAAATGCTTGACTGGTCTCTTGCTGATGAGCCAGTCCCTGAAGATGAGGTGGGAAACGTCGATGGTCGTTTGCCTCATATGTGGGCGGTGAAAAGCACAGAGCCACCCAAGGCACGTATATTGGCTCGTTTGATTTGTGAGAGAAAGACCAGTAAGCCAGTTTTACAATACTGAATACTGGTCATTTGCACCGACATGGACAATCATCCTTTTCAAGACATTTTTCTCCCTTGGCCGTTTCCCATGTCAATGGCCAGTTGGTGGGAGCTGGTCCAGTCTATACAAAATGCACCCCATCTACCGACTGTAGGCACCCCACCTACCAATGCACCCCAGAAGCTACGAACGGGGCTCCTGGCATCAAGGACGCTACTAGTAACAAGAAGCTACGAACGGGGCTCCTGCCACCGAGATCCGGGACCGATCTGCGTGCCGGCCGCGTAGAGATCTATGCCCAGCCCTGTTCGGAACCCGAAAACATGGATGACACACACACACACACAGAGACATGGGAGATACGTAGATCGCGGAGACTTGGAAAGAAGTTTCTCATGTTTGTGTTCTATATAGATGGGTATCTCTCTTTTTATTTTACTCACAAGATGCCTGCACCCACACTTGCGCTGGACAAATACATGTTCCCTCCTTTTTGATGCCACCCTCCAACAGCTGGTCGCATTCAGCCAGCAAGTGCGTTTTGAAGTCCACCGCCCCTTCGTAGGGCAGCCTCGAAAGACAAAGGTGGTTGTGCACAAAATGAACGATCCAAGCCATCAAAAAAGAACAGGAAGTATGAAGGGATAACTTGAACACTGACTGCAGAGGCTTCCTGAAGGCAGCTCGCACCACATGATGGACACAAGTACAAAACCAGACAATGATCCACAACTATCGCTAAAGGGGAACGTAAAGGCCAAGAACTTCAGATCTGCAAAGTATCGCACATGGGAGGAGGGTCTGGATCTCCCGAGCCTTCCATTTGGAGACCAAACCCAAGCGGAGCTCTTTGTAATCTGAGTCTCAGTGCAATTTTTTGGGGGGCATGGTCGCCTAGTTAGTTGGTGCCTGTCAGGTTGATGAGTTCAAAGACATAGAGGCGCAGCGGGCGCTGCCTGTCCACTGCTCGCTCAACGGTGGACAATGAATCATGTTCAGTGGTGAAACGGATTGAAGGGATGATTGGATTTTGTACTTGGGAACCGATACTTTGCCGCCGGTAGTTTTGAAAGAGGGAATTCCAATGGTAGAAAGCACCTGAAAAGGGTGATTGAGGTTATGTATATATACATGTATATCTTTCGATCACGGGCAAGGTCCACTAAGTTCTTCATTGTTTCCCTGCCATGCACGATACGCCCCTGAAGTGGGCCGATAAGTGACATGCACACAACTTACTAGCTTGTCAGGTAGGTCACCAATTATGAGATATCTTACTAGTAGCTTTTTGTTACTAGTAGTAATGCGAGGAGCTACTAGTAGCTTCTTGCTACTAGTAGCGATGCCCTTTGTTACTAGTAGCTTCTTATTAACCAGCAGGTTGTGCATGTCGCAGGCCCGGCGCCGCGTGCGCACCAAGATTTGGCTCTCCTATACGTCCAACCTTATCAGGCACGGTGGAGCCGGGGACGGCCGCTGCCTGCCCTGGATTCTCCACTCCAAACATCTGGATTGCTTTGAGACCGTTGTCTCAGTTTCTCAGCTGAAGCGAAATTGACGAAACCTGAGTTTTTGGTCGAATGGAGAGAGGTCACTCCAAAAGATTGCGAATTTCTTTGTTCTTCAATTTCCAAATGATGAAGCTTTGATCTGCTTGCCGCCTTTCCGCACAGGCAGGATCGATTCCGCTGCAGTAGGGTTTCACCACAGAACAGCGGCGATATTGGCATGATATAAGTGAACACCTCTTCCACGGTCTCAGGGACCAAACTTTGATTGTTGTGCGCTCTGGTTTCATTGACTGAAACCGGGTCTGAAGCTGGCTTGCTCAGCAACCTTAGGACCTTGTTTGGTGGTCCATTTCCAGAAGACTCGACATCACCTCCCCTAGTTGCTCTCCACTGGTACCTTTGTATGGATTTGCAGGAGTGAGACTTTAACAACATAGCCATGGGACAACTCTGTGGTTGCATCCTGATTTGTTTATATAGACCTGTTAAGCATTCGCTAGGGGTACTCGTTAAGACACATCGATGGTTTCGACTTGTTTACACCAATTTTAGCCTGTGGTTTTTGATGTCTATTTCAGTGGTTCTTCTTCCAAACTATTGGCCTTTGAGCACGAGTGTGGAACCGGCCCGGATTCGGCCCTATTCTCATGACCAAAAGGGCTTGATGGATGTGTGTCACTTGCTCCATGTATTTCCGCTTTCTTTTAATCATCAGCATGGGAGATGAACACCAGTGATCGTTCCCTTTGCCAGGGTAGCATGTACACTCCTGTCAATTCAACATCTAAGTCACGGTTTATAAGGTGCCAAGTTCATTTCACTGGGACCTTGATGCCCCATGAGTGATTCCGGACACACCCGCACCAGCTCTGGCCTTCGGGAAACTCTTCGGTTTCTGGTGCAGCACCGCATGGTGCAGGCCAGCAGGGGGGAGGCCCAGGTGAAGGTCAGAAGAGCAGGGGGAGGCCATGTGCTCTAGTTTGGATGGACACTGAGTGGGCCTTGTGACGGGTAAAAGACAAGACTTCCAACATTTCGGGGGCTTGGAGGATGGGAGCGAGGAACTTTACAGAGAGGAGAGAGAGAGTGAGTGAGTGAGAGAGAGAGAGAGAGCCTTGTACAGCCGCGCGGGGGAAGAACCACTCGCTTGGTGAAAGGAAGCTCTGGATCAAACCCTGGACAGCCCTGAATAGGATTTTGAACCTACCATTTACTCTTTATTGAAATACGCCTACCCGGTCGCACCTTTTGAGAGCGATGCTAATTCTCACCACAGCATTGTGGCTCAGAGGATAAAAGGAAGTCCGCGTAGTTGCATAGCTTAACGCTAGTGTTCAGCGGCCGAGGTTGAAAATACAGGTTGTCAGGCCTCTGCCATGGCTACAGATGATGGTGTGTCAGCTGCACTCACAATGATACCGTATACCGGCGCTCAACCACCGAACGCCGGGGGCGACCTCGTGCCCGAGGACGTGTTAATGGGATCAGAAGGAGTGACAGCATATTTTCAATTCATCCAGGACAACCTCCAGCACATTGGGTCAGGCAATGAGAACGCTGTTCGGCATGATGCAGAACAGCGGCATCGTGAGATCATGCAGAGCACTATCGGTACTTTAGGTACCCAGTGTCGGCTTGCAATAGATCAGATGCGTGAAGCCTGTGCAGCAAGTTCCTACATTGGAGGAGCGTGTTGTGTCATTGGAAAGGTAGTTGGCTGAAAGTCAGGCCAAAGTCGCCAATGCTGAGCAGTTGCATCAGCAGAAGATGGCACAGCAGAAGGATGAAGCAGAAAAGCTACATCAAGTCAGATCGAAAAGCTGAAGCAGATGTTTGACAAGATTGTGGACGATGCCTCGGACAAAGCTCGTGGCTTGTTAGTAGAAGAAAGAAGACGAAGCAAAAGGCCACACTTGAAGCAGAGCTGCAAAAGGCAGCGCGAAGCAATGAACTGCTACAAGACCAGCTTCATGAGCTAATCTCCCATCGAGATACGGACCCAGCGCATCAGCAGCCAGCGCCTACTGCACCTGTGCGGTTGGAGCCCACTGGCCGCGAGGCCGAGCCCAAGATTGGTGAAACGAGCGCCGAATGAGGAACGTTTTGGAACTCCCGCAGAACAGTTCGTTGACGCCCGTCAAAGCCTAGATGAAAAGGCTTTGAATGCAGGTCGGTGATGGAGCAACTGACGGCAAAACCCCGCACTGCTTCAGGCGCTGCTTCGGGCCACGCCGGAGCAATCGTTAGTGGTTTGGCTGAGGGAAATCCAAAGGCCACCAAACAGACCTGACATGCCAACACCAGAGACTTACCGTCAGTAGAAGAATCTAGTGAGAGAGCTCGTTAGGTCATCGCCAGATAAAACCAGATGAAGCATGGAAGTGGATCATGGAAGTCTGGGACCCCACTTTGAGGACTCAGAGGCCATGTCAAACTGCGCTGCATGGAAAGCAGAGCCCAGGCTACGACAGACACGACGATGGCCCAAGGAATTACCTCCGCCTGTACGTCAAGACCAAAGACAAAGTGGTAAACTTTGAAGAAGTTTCGAATACACAGGAGCTCACCAAGGAAGAACTTGGCAAGAATGCTTCTGCGGCAGTGCTTGAGCAGCGCTTGAGGTTTGCGGGTGGTGCCGATGGAACAGAGAAGCGCGAGCTGGATCTGTTTGGAAAGTTGAAGGCGGAGATGGCAGTGTGTTGAGTGAGGAAGGGCTTGCAGTGTGTTGAGTGAGGAAGGGCTTTTGGGCCCAGACGTTGAAGAGGTGATGGAAGAAGTCAAGAAGAAGACAACGAGGAGATTACATATGGAAACTTGGGAAGTTTGGTAGGTTAATAGGTACAGCTGTTTGTTTGGGCAGGCTTGCCCCTTGAAGTGTGCCCACCCCATGTTTTTTTGTTCTAGGACACCCGTGGTCCAGCCGTTTCATGCGCGCTTGCCCAAGACAAAGAAGGATGAAGAGGATAAGGAAGGCAGCAGCAAGTCTCAAGAGGAAGAGGCAGAGGGAGAAGAAGCGTAAAGCTGAGCGTGTGTATGTGCAGAAACTGCAAAGCCTCAAGACAGATATGACGAAGCTGCAGCGGCAAATGCGTTCAAGTCTCGCAGGCTTCCAAGGTACCCCTCCAGACGCTGCTGAATTTCAATTTGAGATGCTGCTTGTTCAGTGGGCAGCGTGCGGGCCTTGGGCACCGAATTCTGCGCTTGGAGATCAAACACACTTTGGAAGAAATTCTTCAAGTCAAAAAATGCTGGGTGTTCTCGCGTCTGCTTGCAAAAAAGCAATGAATGAGATGCTGTGGGCACGCAAGAAGTCCCAGACCGCCAAGGAGAAGCAGAACGAAGAGGAAATCAAGGAGTCAGGTCGAGGTGGGGACGGCTGGGGGGGTACTGCAAGAACAGCGCTGGCAAAGCAAACGATGGTCTTTTTGGCTTAGTAAGGGGAGTGTCTATTGTTTTGCATTCTGACAAGAACACATTCTTCTGTGTGAGGCCAGAGTAAAAAGCGACAAAGGACAATTGCCACATCTGGTCAGCCCAGATGCCAAACGCTGGCATTTGGGACATGCCAAGGCCTTTTTGTGGTGGGCAGCTGTGAAAAGGCTTTTGAACCAGAATTTTTGCGAAACAAAGCTGAAAGACTTTGGTGTGAAGAAGGTCATTGAATCAGAGACAAGAGCGGGTGACAACCCAAAAGGCGCAGGAATCTGGAGACACCACGGTGTCTTTTTCGTGGGACAATTGGCCCTTTGATTTACCTCCTGGCGTCCACCCATGTCGATGGCAGTGATGTCTCAGGCTTGGGAGCTGATGAAGAGTGATTTTGGTTGCGCCCACGCAATGAGCCTCGGCAACACAGTCTTGGCGAGGCGATTCTCAAGAGAAAGGTGGCTGCCCGTGAAGCTGCCGCAGCTCAAAAAGGAGCTGTGCAGAGCGCGCCCGAATCCCGTCAAGATCCACCTGCAAAGGGCGCGGAAGGTGAAGGTGGTGGTGTGGCCGAAGCAAATGCCAACCCCAAGGATTCAAAGGGTGCTCAGCGGACTGACCAGGTTGAGTGAATGTGAAGGTATGGTGCTGAGGGCAAGTGCTGTCTTGTGCTTCAATGGCATACGCCTATGCAGTGGCTGTTGGATTTTTCCTGTTTGTGGGTAGACCCGTGCCTGTGTGAGCATGTTGCGTTGTGCTGCGGGTTGCCTCGTGTCAGTGGTGCATTTGTGCGGGTTTCCCTGCCTCAGCGGTGCATTTGTACGGGTTGCCCTGCCAAGGCGGCGTTCCATTCAAAGAATGGGTGCGTGCCACTTGTTTTTGCTGGAGCTTACTTTCAAGAAAGCCCTGGCCCTGAAGCTCTTGTGTGCGGGCTACCGTCCACTTCAGGGTGGCAACGTTTTCCGGCCCAAAGCTGTGAAAAAAATGGTTGCAGTTTTTTTGCAAGAAGCTGCTGGCAGTCAAAGAATGATTTTTCTCATGCTGTTTCGTGTTTCTTGCCTAGCTATGTGACAAGGTATTGAACAATTGTTATCATAAACATGTGTGTCTGTGTGGGTGTGTTGGGTGACTTTTCTTTCGATTCCCTTCTGTTTTCCAAAGAACGTTGGTTCCTTGTAGAGCAAGAGTCACCGAAAGAGTGTCATACAAGAGTGTCCCACAAGATTGGCTTGCAAGAGTGTCCCACAAAAGCGTTGCGCAAGAGTGTGTCCTACAGGAGTGTCGCGCAAGAGTGTCTTACAAAAATGTCGCGCAAGACCCCCCCCAGCTTGTCAATTGGGTTGTTGATAGGCCTTGGGGCTTATGTGTGCACACATAAGCGGCCTACTCCCACAGCGGCAGAGGTCATGATCACCACAGCGGGTGGGATTGAAGAGGACCACGCAGGGTGAAAGGGAGAGGTGTGCACCCACAAAGCAAGGCATGTCCTCCCGCAGAAGCAAGTACAGTTGGCCACAATTTATCACGGGTAACAGAATAGACTTTGTTGGTTCACTATGGTTCTTTCCCATTTTCCTGCTGCTATACTCTTGACTACACAGCAGTCCAAGCTGGATTCATGAAGCTGTGGCCGTGGTTCATTCCAAGCGAGAATGTTTAAACGAGTGAGACATGATTGGACTGGAGTCCGTCGCTGGAGTCCTTGCCGCCCAGCAGCTGGGCAAACACGTTCTGCAGCCAAGAGGAATCGTTTGAAAATGAACTGCCTAAAAACTAAAGAATGTTGGCTCTAGGACCAGACAATCCTTGCGCCAACATGTTTTCCAGAGGCTTTGTACGACGCTGTTTCGCCTGAATCTCGATAGGACATCATCAAGTGCCTGGCCCCGACGCACCTGGGCGACTTCGCCCTGCCGGGTCTGGACTTGCGGCGCAAGGGCATCAATCGCATAGGCGGGGCCAAGTGGACGGCTGGTGGCATCTCGTAGGTGCCCAGCAAGTCCAGTTGAGGATGTCCTATTTGCCGTCTCCAGTTCCACCGCACACAAGGGGACCACATGTTCGCAGCAGAAGTGGTGCTGAATCTGGGGTGACAGTCAGGATTTCACCAGCGCTGCAAAGGACTGCAGCTTTGTAGAGTTTTCCTCCCTTGTGGGAATGTATCAGCGACTTGGTAGACCTGAGGATCCTGGCTTGGAGTTCTACGCACTTCTACGTCAATTTCTGAATTTGCTTCACTGAGGCTACCATCAACATGCTCTTTTCTCCACGAAGCCAACCTCGGCTCTGCATTTTGGGGGGTCCCACCGTTTGCTTGGGTTGCCGCACAAAAGCTGCTTCCTTTCGTCTGTTCCATATCTCAGTGGGTGTTTCAGTGACTCGTGTCACCACTGAGTTTCGAACCGCTTTTCCACATGACCGGTGCCCCAAGAAGCTGTAGCTCCCCGGCAAACAGGAAACCTCCTGGCTCCCAATGAGAACTACTGCAAGTTCGAGGATGCCCCAAGGGGCCGCACATGGAAACGGATTGTTTGATGTGGACTTGAGGTGGCCTGTCCGCTGCAGAAAGTAACTTTCTGAAGAAGTTTCAAAGTCAACAATTCATGGAAGATGGATTGTCGGGTTGCAGGGGGACCAAACGTGGACTAGAGTTGCAGAGGGTGGGTCGGCTTGTGAGCCCCCAAGCTGTTTTCAGTGGAAGGCGAGAACATTCGACTTGCAATTGGGGGGTGGCCGATGCCGGTGTCAGTCATGCAGAATCTACAGAGTAGAGGTTTGACGCCGTTCACGTACAGAGTACTGTGATTCAATGGTTGTATTGGCCTGCTCCAAACTACTGGAAGTACTAACACCGTGCTAGTGCTTGATTGAATTTTCTTTGTTTTTTATTTTCAATGCGGAAGGGGATCTCACCAGCTCTGAAGGATTGGATCACGCCCATCCTGAACGCCATGCATGACGAGCAGGAGCGATGGTGCCCAGTGTCCAGTTTATGTAGGACTGGGATGTTGGAATTTGGCGAAGCATACCCCCGAAGCATACTCCATAGTCAAACATCCCGGCCCGTGAACTTCAAAAGAATGTGCCCCTGAAAACTATTTGTTACGTTCTGGTTCCGGGTCTTTGCTGCCTGTGGAGACCTCGCCGAAAGATGGGATTTTGAGGCATCTTGCAGTGCTATAAAGACGCAGCTTTGGTAGAAAAATGCTCCTGTTTGGATACTTGCAAGTTGTCGTTGTTCCTTGGTGGGGTTGGCACTGCGCATGTACAAATCACCCCTTCCTGGGTGCCTTCCTCAAAGACTCCAAATCTTCCCTTCGGAGTCAGGAGAAGGATGGTGTGGTATGGACACCCTCGAAGATGATCCATCGCTTCGGCAAGGCGGGCGGTAAATCCTGTGCTGAGGAAAGAAAATCCGAAAGCCGAAGAGATTGGCTGACTCCTGGGGACTCAAACCTTGATGAGCCCTGTTGTTTCTTTGATGTGACTGTTGTGATTGGCTGATCTTCATGAAGTCACCTAGGGACTGAGGGGACCACAGGCCTATGTCGTTCACATTGGCCGCCGCACTGCCAGGAAATCGACAATCCTGAGTCCGTATGCTATTGGGCCTACCGCACCTGGCCTAGATACGGATGAGGTGCTGGAGCATTGACACTACTGACCTGCGATCTCCAAAAGGGAACCTTTTTTCCTGAGATCTTTCAGACCAGCTCCAATCTCTCATTGCTGTTGGCTGTCAAGTCTCTGATTTGGCCCATCTCCCATAGATTTCTGCTGGGTGCAAGGTGGGTGCAAACGCTTGGAGCAAAACCCAACAAAGGGGGATTATCCTGATTTCTGTAGATTTGAACATAAACCCGATGCACGGTTGACCATGCTCTCTTGTGCCTTTCGGCCTTGAAAGCCTTCCTCTTCCTCCCAGGAAATAACGTCCCGATCTTCTCACCGGCCATTACCGATGGCTCCATTGGGGACATGCTGTATTTCCACAGCTACAAGAGGAGTGGCGCCTTGATTGGGTGACTTGCACAAGGACGGTCCCTTTGCCTTTTCCTGATAAAGACATGAACAGAGATTTTCTGACAGGCGCAGGGAACTGTGAAATTTGGCGTACTGATAAGTCAACCGTGGAAGAAGTCTCGGGCGAAAGCTTTGTTTTGGCCTCTCAAAGTGGTCTTTGCAAGTGCTTGGGACGCGAATCGCAGCAGGGCTGCGGGCTGCGAGTGAGCCTTGAAGTGTGATCTCTTTTTTGGCATGTGCAGGACTTTGTGAAGCTACAAGTGCAGATGTAGCATGTAACATGTCTTGTGTACTTCGTTTTCATACTTTCATCCTAGGTAACTTGTAGCTGTTTCGCCCTTGTATCGAGCAAACCTCTCTTAGATTCTTAGATTAGATTATTCATTTGACTCAGGTAGTGTACAAATTATGATGGGCACTTGTCCAAGAGAGCAGTTTTGACTGTATGTATTAGCGTCTTTTTACAAGTATCAACTTCGTCAATATGATCTTGACAAGAAACGTCCTTGCTGTCATACCCATACCCAGATTAAATCGGCAGATCCAAAAAATGCCAAAACCCCACTCCTGCACCGAATCTTTTTTGTAGACTGCCGCAACTTCAAGAAAACAATCAATGAACAATATCATAAATCATAAAAAACAACTTACAAGATCTCCCGACCCAGGTTTTGTTCTGGACCTTGTTCAAGACATCCGTGCAGTGAATGACCAAGCAGCTGGGAGCGCAGTTCATGGGGAAGTGCACACTCTGTTTCAGTCACAGCTTCTCCTTGTGCTAGAATGGCCAGACCAGATCAGAGATAAGTTTCACGACTTGACACAGTAACTGGGAACCGTTTCTGAACCTTGCACTCCAAACTGGCACAGAGTCTTGCCAAGTGATTCAATTTAGGGCTGTGCCCATTTTCACCAGGGTTTGCGCCAAGAATCCACGGGGGTATGATTTGTGCAGCCACAGCCAATGCGTGCAAGTAGCGAGTTCAGCTAGATTCACGTGTGTGGAGGTTTGCCCCAAAAATGCCGTGTTGCTGAGCTTCATTCCACTGCGTTTTGGTGTTGGTCATGGCAAAATGGTTTCTTGAGCCGCACCGATTTTCGTTGGACTTGTTTACGCTTGGTCCCCCAAGGTGTACCCCTTGGGGCCCTTGGGGTCACCCGGATGGAGTAACGATTGAATCCTGTCCGCTGGAGGCGATGAAGGCTCGGAAGACAGGGGTGCTGGTGCTCGGTGCCGTCCTCGGCTTTTCGTGAAAGAGAAGACTTTTCGAAAGCCTGCTGAACCCCGAGTTATACGGTTGCTCCCAGGATGTCAATCAGAAAACTGGTTTTGGTGTGTCCTGATTCTGAGGCAAAACTATTTGGGTGTGGCTCAAAAACAAAGAGCGAGGGAGAAATCCACAGGTGTGGTGTGGGTTTAAATTATGCTATCCAACGTGCATTCGATGCCCAATGCTTTAGCCATACCGTACGCATCATTTGGACGCACACTCTTTGGGGGAATGCTTTGAAGAATCATTGCGCCTCCAAGTAGCTTTGAGTATAAATCAAAACCGGCGATTCCCTCTGAACGTCCGTTGTGGGAAGGTCAACTCAAAGCAACCATATGGGATCCAACATCTGTCTGGGCAGGCCCGCTATGCCCAGACCTCGTCGTTTGAGGTGGCGGGCTTGTGAAGCATCATTGCATGAATGCCAACCTCATGCGCCTCTTGGAGAATTGACATGAGCTTCTTTTCTTTTTTTTTTCCGTTGCCTCCTAGAGGCAAGGCGGCAAGGTGCTTAAAACCCAACTACCGGTGGGAATCCATGCACCATCATGTCCCTGGACAGAGTCTTTGTCCAGCTTTCGCGCGAAAGAGAGGGTATGGGTCAGGCTTTGCCTGCATTAACGTTAGGTTGTTTGTAAGTCGACAGGAGGGCAAGGGACGTCTTGTAATAGCCATAGATGCCTTCGGTTTCCTTTGTCCCTACGATTGTTTGGAATAACAGTTTGGGCCAAACATGATTGCCGGCCAAATGGATTGAGCCACAATAGACAAACTCACTGAATTGGATCGCAATCTTGCTTTTGATGGACGCAACCATGGGGCTCCTCTTCCATGGACAGATGCCGGATTGGTTGTACAATATAGACTAAATACCCTTCAGACCAAAGGGCATGAATGCCTCTCAGACAGGCAACAATCAGATGTTCTTTCAAGTAGGATTGCTCCCCAATTGGTCCCTGAGAAAGGGTCCAGTTGTTTTCTGAGAAACTCTCTTGTTAGTTTTGAAATGTAACTTGGGAATTTTGTTTGGTTTATCAGGTTCACTTTGGTTGTGGTCCATTTTGTTCCAAGGGTCTTTGGCTGAGGGAATGGTGCGGACTTCGTGGTCTATGTGAGCACCGCTCAGGTGCACCGAGGGTGGAGGGTCGTGCCGGTGGAGGGTCGTGCCTTTCTTCGCGTTTCGGCTGGGCCGAAGGCAGCAGAAAGAAGTATCATCATTTCACAGATACGGCGGCCAATGGCACAGATACGGGTCCCTGCCCTTGACAGGTCATTCTGTGTTTCAGGAACTTTCTCTACCACCGTCCAGTTGCACTTTGTGTCTTGTGAAATTCTCCTCATCCAACACTGAGGAGAATCGACCTGTCGCGTGAAGGCGTTTGACAGGAATTTCTACGGTGGATGCCTAGAACCCCTTTGGATGCCACTGTATGATTTCCTGAACAGCGGTACTCCAAAACACATGCAGGCCACTCAGAGGCACTAAAAAAGCGCAAAAGGCACACGCATACAGACATACAGTGACATACACATGTTCTACAAAGACATGTTTCATCAACCACAAACCAATGAACCATCATCAACCACAAACCAGTGCGGCACTCCACGCAGCTCCCAGGAGTTCGACGGCTCCGACTCCGGCGCGCGGCCGGACGAAGCGGTGAGCTGGGGCAAGATCCGCGTCGATGCACAGCCGGTGAAGGCGAGGAGGAGGGACTTCGTTGCTTCGATGCGATGGGATGGACTTCAGACGCTGTTGGGAGAGGCTGAGACGGGCTGAGACAAGTGTGTGTAAGATTGCTGGCCAGTCACCGTCTTCGCTTCGGGCGAGCATCTTCCAAACGACCAGAAGAGTGACCTTTTTCCTACCTTCCTACTTTGGTCGTTTGGGATGTTTCAACCTCCGTTGCCTTACTTTGGGGATCTTTGGGGCATCAATCTTGAGATCTTCGGTGCGGATGCCGACAGGATGCCGCCAGGCTCGTGGAGTCGACGGACCGACCCGTGGCCTGGCGGCCGGTACATAGCTGCCGTTCGGTCGGGGAGCGCCGCAGGTACATGCAGAGGCGACCTTGGTGCTTCCACTGATGGTGGCCAAGACCTTTGCCCGCAGGCCGTGCATGGCAGGAGAGTGTGTAGCTTTGCAGTCATTTTGTTGGGTGATCCAAGTGATCTGAACATGTCCAAGGATGGTGTGCGCAAATTAGCAGAATCTCTAACTACTGATGAGAAGAAGCGGGAATTGGCTTGGGGGCTCACGAAAGTCATGGAAGTTCATGGAAGTAAGCAACATTCATTTGACGGCAGATCCTGCATGCCAACCAAAACAAACTGCGTCGTCTTCTCCAAAGGAGTCACCGAAACTGCAAGGCTTCAGAAAGGCGAGTGGAACGCAGATGGCCGTGCGGTGCTCGGAAGGGGGACCGCGGGATCGGAGATTTGGATGACAAGGGGCCTCTAGTAGCAATGCCAGGAGCCCCTAGTAGCGTCCTTGCTCCTAGTAG